CCCTTATAAATGCATACAATGATATATACACGTACATGAATTCATTCTTTGACGATTTTTCCATTCTTATGTGAGAACCTGGATATGTCTTATCCATTGTATATAAGTATCCTGGTAATTTTTTGTATGAATCAGCCGGTTCACCTCTAAGAAAATTCATTGCCTTTTCTTTAGCCCTCCACGCCAACATATAGCTAACATCAACACCTAGATCTGATTTCACGTCATCAATAATGTCCCTCGGAGTGTATTTCCTCTTATGGTTTGTAAGCTTTGTCCTTATAATACCACTTATAAGGCTGCTACTAGCTTGCCGCTGCTCGTACACTTTATCCTTCAGCGGACATGTATGGTTGTCATTGAATTCTCTCACCTTGAATAATTCCGATTTGTTAATGCTTGAAGCCTTAAACCTCCAATCACAATCTTCTGAAATACATATTAATGCATAGCTGGACAGAAAAGTTCATACATTAGACAACTTAACGAATCTAACATATATACTTCCTATTCATAAAGTACCAAATTGATATCTGTGTATATGTAATTTTGTATACTAACGAATTCCAATATTGTTAGATGTGATTAAATACAATAAATACAACTAAATACATTCGTATGAATAATCAAACACTTAGTAACATTATAGACATAATATGAAAATAATCATAGCCACTATTGTATTTTTTCAATAGTAAAATACACCTGAATACATATTATTAAGAACACTAAACAAATATAAATTTTCAAAGGTGTTCATTATCTGGAGGATACACACAACTACAACTAAATACAACAAAGTTAAACAAACATCAAACCTGACAGCATTAGACCGATCAACACAGAATTGAAACCTTTGAGCTATAGCATAATTATTCATCACCTCTTTCAATGTAGCCTTATCCTTATACACTTGTCCAGCCATAACCTCCTTTTGATTAGTTTTTGAAATTATAAAATCCTTGTGGAGTTCGAACACTCCAATCGCTTCTCCTGAATTGGCAAGTTCTATGGCTAGTGTATAATCTGTATCGGAATCGTACATTTGAACTGCTTCGTCTATCTGCACAATGTCGCCTTGATTTAAACCATCTCCAGAGATAAGCTCTTTTTCCATAGTTGTAATGCACAGAGGATACATCCCAAATTCTCTGTTCTCTTTTTTCTATTTTACATACACTCTGTAACCCATATCATTGTGTATTTCCATTGGTGTGCGATTGCCTTCAACATTGTATTGTATTTTAATGGTATTTGTGCTCAAATCTATACCCAGTTGATTAGAAATTGAACAAACTAGATCATTAAAGGAAGCATACTCCTTAATCAGTATTCCCTCAATTAAAAAGTCGATATAATTGCCCTCATTGTTCCACTTTCCAGAATGACGCAACAAAACTGTCAAGCTTGCCATATATATAGAAGAGTTATACCTTCTTCTGTATATAATTTGTCGCAATCGATAAGGAGGAGAAGAAAATCACACAATATAGAAGCAATCTGCTCTGTTTCTTCGCTTCTTTCACGTTTCTGTATTTTTGACTTTGAGAAGAATACAGATTGATGGGATAACTTTTAAGTTTGTTGAGTAAAATTAGGGAAATCAGAATTGATTTGATTTCCTTCCGTTTTTAACATCTTCGTCGACCCAGATATTGCGCAGATACGTTACGTATTTAGCGCTACATACGTTTGAATACAGGTAAATACATTTTAGAAATAGCTGAATTTCCTTTTTGTACGCCGCTAATTTTTGTTGTATTATTAAATACACTACCTTAAATACATTATATAATTACACAAAAGATATCTATAGGACGTAATATAGCAAAGAGTTTCTATTAATTGATAATTAGGACTAAAAGATGGTGCTTTGTGAAAAATTCTCTTAAACAAAACCTAAAAATACAATTACCCTAAATCAAACACACAATTAGCTATTAACCTAAACATGTAGCAGCAAATGCATTAACTAACAGAAATTGAAACTGACTAAAACAATTAACCAACAAATTACTAATTAGTCAACTAACTAAAAGAAATGGAGAATAGGAGGAAGCTATTAACCTTAGTAAAAAACTACTGCTAGCAGGAAACATAACGGACAGTGAAAGTCAGCTCCTGGCCGGTCAACGGCGTTTTAACCGGCCTCCGGGGCTTCGAAATGAGCCAAACCAACGTAAATCGATTTCTCTTGTCAAGCGAAATAGATTCACGTAAGTTTGAGCCAAATCGAACAAATTATTGAAGAAAATCAGAAAGGATACATACAACTTTGGGAATTTTAGATCTAAAAAACGGAAAAATCTATGGGGATTTGAGAGACAACGTTAGGGGGCTTGGTAAGAAGAGGGGACAGGGATTGTTTGGTGAAGATTTGGGCGGATTTGAAGGTGGCCCGCCGCCGTAGGCGATTTCCGGCAGCGGTGGACGTTGGTGAAACAGTAAGGGAACGACAGGGGTCTGAGAGGATGTTTGGTGGGTGGGGTAAGGGTCTGTTCCGACAACTTTAAGGGAAGAGGTTTTGAGTTCCTGGCCGTCAGATTGAAATCAATGGATGGTGGAGATTAGAACAAGTGAAACAACGTCGTTTAGTAGTTCATTAAAGAGGCAGGTGGACTGGGTCGAATCAAAGGATGGGTTGGGGCAGATGTCTTGTGGAATTTGGGCCATCCGTTGAAGCTGGCCCAATGTGGAGTAAGCAAACAGACCCTCTTCTCTTTATTATTTGGTTCTCAAAACTAGCCTAATGAATTCTACTTGAAACTATTTTGCAAATTTGACCTACTGAACTAATTAATATTGCGACTTAATAAACTAATTAATTAATCAACCTAAAAATGCAGAAACTAAAGTAATTAGAAGTATTTTGTGATTTTCATATTTTAGAGATGCAATTAACATGTAATTAGGGCCTAAAATGTAAAGATTAAAATATAAATTTTTATTTATTTATTTTTAGGATTTGAAATGCCATTAAATTGGCAAAACACAAAACAAATCAAATAAAATAAAGAAAATATCCTTAAACAGATATCTCAAGTTCGAGCGCTTCAACGAATTTTTGTTTGATAGGAAGCGCTTTACCCCGATAGCTAGATTAGTTGGATCTGCAAAATTCTCTCAAAATTATTAGATTTTAAATTGAACACAAAAAAGCGTCTAGCGTGAATAAATGCTCGATGGAGTTGTCAAAGTATTGCATCTTTAAATCTACTCTGGTTTTTCGTATTTTAGCATGGACACTTTTATGACATGAATATGATTGTTATATAAGTTTTTCCTTCTAGTCCTTTTTATAATCGAAATTAAAAATACTAAATTTTCATCTTATAATTGTGCAGTTGAAAGTTTATGGAGTAGTAATCGTGATTTACTTTGGCATATATACAACTAAAAAAAGCTATTTACTTTGTAATTTCTGCTTGTGTATTGATGAAAAGTGAAACTTTATTTGAAAAAAATGTACAACATTGGTTTTTTTTGGGAGACATGTTTTGAATACTGATAAGTGAAAGATGTCACAATTTAAATTGTGTATTACGATTTCGACTTCTACAGTTTATAGCGCTTTCACTATTCGTTAACTGTGTGAGAATATTACTACTTGTTAAGTGAAACTAAATTTACATCCATAAGAATGCCGAATTGTACTAGGGTCTAGAGAAATCATAGGTTTAATTTTCCTTTTGGAAAATCTATATATATAAAGTAGGGACATTGAGAGATGAAGTGGCACATCTCATAGACAAGGAAATATTTTTATTTATTTTGTCATTTTCTTAATTTTTTTCTCGCTCAATTCAATAAAATAATCCATTAGTAAATTCTAATAATTAAGCCTTTGTATTTCAAAAATATACGGAAAGGAAAACCAACACTTTCAAGGGTTACAAACTTTTTCTTTTCCGAATTGTTACGACCTTCAACTTTTTATTTTTTTTCCTGTGATGAGCTTTCTCCATGATAAATAAGGAATTAAAACGAAATCGTTCGTTTCAATCCTTCTTCTTTTTCATATTTTCTTCTGGTGAAGGTTATTTATATGTGATGAATGAAAAATTATTAGGACAAAAACTCTTATAAAGTTATAATTATCAACTGTCAGTGAGGAAGCTCTAGCAGAGAAGAAACTCTTGGTATGGATGGTGTTTAATTTTCAAATATCTATTTGTAAGTTTTTGTTTTCTTTCTTTTTCTCTCACTGGCTTATTTTGTCTCCTTCACTATGTCATAGTTGTCGGAGGTAATTAAGAGAGGACCACGGAGCAAGAGGATTTGGTACTTGTATGGGTCCGAATTTGGCAACTATGACAACCACCGAATAGAAAGAGGAACGAGGTTATCACGACGCGTCGTGTGATGGTCGTCATGGTGAAGAACGACGATCAAGAGCGGTCAGTCGAAATAAGACCTCAGCGGTAGTGTAAGCTTAATAAGAGACAGTGAGAAGATGTTTTTTGAATATTCTTTATGATTGTACTTTTAGGGTTTCATGGGGGATTGTCCCTTATAAATAGGAAGAGTGAGTAAGGAAAAGGGCATTCAGGAAAAAAAAACAGAAGAACACTTTGTAAAAGATTCATTTGAGAGTAAGTACAAGAACAACCTTGCTCAAAGATTCCACAATCATCTGATATTTATTCTTTTCTGCTCCAACTGCATTTACTTATATCTGCTGCGCATCTAGGTTATCGCATCTATAAGTATTTCACAGATTCCAACATAGCAGCTATTATCATCTATCATGCTTATTTCCTTTATCACTTGATCTAGATTTTATTATTCTTAACTGAGATTTAGCCTTCTTCTAATCATAATATTGGTTTAATCAAAGGGTTTAACTTCTTTTGGTCAAACAATTTGGCGCCGTCTGTGAGGATTTCTTTAGTTGAAATTATAGTTTCATCTAGATCATAGAAAGGGATAGCCATCTTTTCTTAGCTTTTCATAAACTAACAATGGCAGGGAAAGGAGATGCGAGATTGAAAGCGATAGCAGATGTTACCGCCAACATTTTGAACACTATCAATGAAGTCGACAGGGAAGATAATGAAAACGTGACGCCAAGTGCTACGCTTAGGCGAAATGCTTCACCCCCCCCCCCCCCCC